TGCTTGTTATTCAACCGGCCACAAGTGTCCGTACTCCGTATTTACTTTAATTTTCAATGGCCTCATTTCAATTCTTGGCTCCCCATTAACTTATTTTTTAATTAATAAGTTTTTACAATCTTTTTTCCTTTTTTTAGTAATCATGTATTTTTTTTAAATCACTCTTATCCATCTTAATCAATCGTTTTTGTTATTAAATATGTTTTTTTTTTCATCTTCACCCACCTTTATTGATTTACAAAACCCATAAATCGTATTAATGAATTTTGCATATATCTAAAAAAATTATACTGTGACAACCCGAAACTTTGTCCGTTTCCGTTACGCGATTTCCGTTAATAAAATTTCGAATTCATTAACTTTTCCGTCAAACTTCTTGGTTTAGAAAATAATCTAGTTATATATAATTAAATTATTTACGAGTCGGAACCAAAAATCACGCGGAAACCCGAATATCTCGAAAAATAAAACCAAACATTTCCGGTCTAAGTGAGGTTACGGCCGTAAACCTGTTTACGGCCAGCAAAGGGTGGACCCCCCACCACCGACCACAAAACCCCTACAAATACGAGACCTCCACCTTCATTTGAACATTTCTGGCCAAAAACTCTCTCCTTCTCTCTCTAAGAACCTTGACCTTAAACACCTAAAAACACTTCAACCTTCGGGAAACATCGAGAAACACCGTTTAGAGTCACTTCAGAACGTCTGGAAACACTTATCTCTTCGAAATCAGCACCATTCTTCTTGAGTTTACGGTCCATCTTCAAAGACCGTAAACACTGTTCTTGAGTTTACGGTCCAAACCTTCAAAGACCGTAAACCCTGTTCTTGAGTTTACGGCCGTAAACTCGCCAAGCCTTCAGAAACCGTAAACCCCAGTTTACGACCGTAAACCCCGTTCACGACCGTAAACTGTCTGTTGACCGTAAACCCTAGTTTACGACCGTAAACACCTTTTAAGTGGTGCTTTTGGCTGAAAACTCACTTTCATCAATTCGATCAAGTCCCGGTAACACTCCTCAACCGAATACAAGTATTCCTCTAACACGTTATCTAACGAAATCGTTAATTTAGATACATATATGTATTTATTTGATAATAGGATTCCGTTAAGTGTCACGTGCAACAACTCGAGGATCTTCATTTTAGTCAGCGATTTCACGCAAGAACTGTGAGTTCATACCCATACATTTTCCGTATTTTTAATGTTTTCAGGGGGGAATACAAGCTAAACATAAATGTTTTCAAAACTTATGCAAATCTCATACTTTAACCCTTTTGTACTGTGTTGAGCATAAGGGACGTTTTCACAAAAATTTGCATAGTTTTCCGGACACCCTATTCACTATACATGCAAACTATAATCGGTATAGTTTGGGATTTTCTAAACATAACGAGTACAGAAACTTTCACTACTAAACATATGCACTAAGACAGAAATAGTTTACAGTTACATCACTACTTTATCATGGCTTTCATAACTGTAAGTATCACTATATACGGATTTTCACTACGATAGAACGCTACTACACTACATGTAAACTAGATTGTACGATACTGTGAGGCGCTACTTCATTACTCTACCCTTAGGTGTACAGGGATAAATCCTACCACTGTATAACCAGAGTCTCCTGGAGGGAGAGCGCGAGATTTGTGAATAGATCTATTCGGGACTGACAATCCCACATCTGGACTGCTAGCTACAGTTAGGCGGGCACGCCTGAGATGTACAAATGTCATTTAACTCGACGCCTGAAGAACGTTGGAAAAGTCTCTAGTCATATCAAGCATGGTTATACGACTCACAATATGTATAAATCACCTTTAGTTTACAACCTGACACTCTTCAACAGTTTTATTTTTACTAAATAGAACTGATACACACTACGTATACTGGTTAAAGCTAGAGTTTTTCAAACAGAACCGATTATGCAATGGTTTCACATACAAAATACTTATACTTCATGATTAGTTTTAGCTAGTCACATGAGGTAGTATTTTCGCACTTCACTACAGTTTTCTGTGACGAACATTCATGGTTTTATACGAAATCGATAACGCTACCTTTTCACTAAAGAAAATATCGGATTTTCTTGGAAACATACAAATATTCATGGTTTATTACAGAACTGATAACACTACATTTTCACTAAGGAAAATATCGGATTTTCTTAAAACTATACAAATATTTTCCGAACTCATCAACGATTTTTCACTACAAACCACCGCTTATGAACTCACCAGCTTTATGCTGATACTCTTTCAAACTGCTTGTATTCTCAGGAAATCAGTAGACAGGTACTTGCTGGATTTTCGAGGAACTGGAGCAATAAGAGTTTTATGTTTATACTATACAAAGCTATTGGATGTAATTCAAACAAAGTTTCAACTGATGTGGACATTTTTATTTAAGTATTCACTGTAATGGTTGTGTTGCTATGATTGCTGTTATTCATTGGTTGTGATGCTACACATGACGTCCTCCGCCCCGGAATGTTTCCGCCATCGGTTTCGGGGTGTGACATATACTTAGGGCCCAAATTTTATTTGTCGCACAGGGCCCTGAAAATCAACGGACCGGCCATGAATGGGATCAAGCATCACAACAACTACAATGATGTAGTCAATTTTTTTTTTGTTCTTTCGTTATCTATGAAATGCTTTACATCAAGTTCTTAGTTGTACTGTACCACTCCGCTCTACATGACCAACCAATATTCATGATGTTTTCCTTGTTCTTATTTGCTTTTTACTATCATTGTTTAAACTATAATACTTTTATTATTGTCTTGTATAAATTATTAATATAAGTGTTACTAAAAGCGAGTTTCTATAAAAATTTTTTACAAAATTGATTTTAAAGAAAAAATAAATTGTTTATCAAAATTTTATTAACTTCTTTTTTACTATTTTCAAAATCATAATTATAGAGATATTTATTAGACCATTTGATACTATTGTATATTTTTGAATTATCGAAAAACCGTAAACAGTTCTAAATTGAATATTAATTCTTTAATATTTAAAATTATTGAATAATTAATCCATGATGAAACTGGATATTGGAAATTGGAAAACATAAACTTTATTAACATATATGGTAGCAATTTACTACTAGAAAAACCAAATTAATGAAATTAGATAGTAATGTATGCTTATTTCCGAAACAATATGACATTAAAACTTTAAAAAAAATCCAGCTTAATATTCATAATTAAAAACTAACATCATTTTATAAAAACAATACGATAGTAAAAATATAAAAACTAATCGATTTTTGACATAACTTTATGTTCGTTTTGTTACAGAGCTAACTTATAGTGGATTTAATAACTCATTTTTTACTAAACCATAAGTCCTAAACTCTAAGTTAAAAACCTTAACCCACAAATAGAAGCGTAAAATCTATACGTTAAAAGAAACTATTAGCCGAAACACTTCATGTTCTTTGTAAATAACATGTTTATGAAATATAACCATTCATCAAAAGAGAATTACTTACTCAAATAAAACTAACACCCCCCAAAGAGAAACTAATAATCTAAATAACGTATAAATATGAAAACTTCTCTACCATTTACGCTATGTCTATAACAAGTATCCAAAAAAAGACGGAAAACTCGCCTAGCACATCGTGAGGCTGACTACAGCAGATCGGGGGCCATCTTGGACTTGAACCGGAGACCTTCTTTCGTGTCCCCCAGTAAATATATGGGGCCTCGCAATCCTTCATGCGTGCTCCACTTGGCTCGAGGATGAATTATTATCCAAATAAAAGTACAATACATATATGTTTTATTTATAGATGATATTTAATGATAGAGTGTGTGTTCTTTAAAGAAGTATTGCATAATTAATCATGTGTTCGTACACAAAATTGTTTAGATGTAGTAAACTATTTACGCAAAAGAACTAATCGTTTGTAGAAACTAATTTAAGAAAAAACTATTCGTACCCATCGTTTGACGCGGGTAAACGGCTAGTATATATATATATATATATATATATAGATATATATATATATATATATATATATATATATATATATATATATATATATTAGGGGTGTGCACCAAACCGCACAAACCGCATAAACCGCCCGCACCGCACCACACCGCACCGCATAATGCGGTTTAGAACGTTTGCGGTGCGGTTTGTTATTTCGTTAAACCGCACTATGCGGTGCGGTTTGCGGTTTGTTATTTCGTTAAACCGCACTATGCGGTGCGGTTTTCAATTACAAAGTCGCGGTTTAAACTGCACCGCATATATATATATATATATATATATATATATATATATATATATATATATATATATAAAGAAAGTGCATTGTTTCATCACTTGGATTAATAAAATAGTAATAATTGTCTGATTACAAGTTCGTAACAGTTAGAATGTTGGTATGTATAAAAATGGATATGTTAATTAGCCTAAAATTAGTGAATATAGTCATACAATAGGAATTAATTAACAAACATATTACAAAAAACAACTTGTTTTTGAGGTTTTTGCAAAACATTTCTAGTTCCTAGTTTTATATCTCAAAAGATCAAAAGATTTTTTAGATTTTTCAAAAATTATAAAATGTAGCAACTCATCAAACCGCAAAACCGCACAAACCATCCGCATCAAACCGCACCGCATAACGCGGTTTTGAACTTCTGCGGTGCGGTTTGCGGTTTCAAAAAAACTCAAACTGCATATGCGGTGCGGTTTGCGGTTTTGGACTTAAACCGCACCAAACCGCACCGCACACACCCCTAAATTATATATATATATATATATATATATATATATATATATATATATATATATATATATATATATATATATATATATTATATATATATATATATATATATGGGTAAAAAAGATAAAGCAAAAAATAAATAAATAAAAAGTGTAAGGTAACGAGCGGGGAGCAGATAGAGAGAGAAAGACATATAGAGAGAGAGAAAGAGAGATATAGAGAGAGAAAGTTTGTCACTGAGAGAGAGAGAGAGAGAGAGAGAGAGAGAGAGAGGGGAAAAATCAATTGGGTAAAATTGTGTATATTTTTATATATGTGAAAGAGAGTAGCCATGGTGTCCGACCAAGAGATAGCTAAAGGAGTTGAGATTCTTCTGAGTCAATCAGACCCTAAATCATTCACATCCCTCAGCGATGTTGTTCACCAGCTCGGCCAAAAATTAGGGTTTGATTTGTCTCATAAGGCCGTCTTCATCCGTGACCAAATCAATAACCTTCTTTACCGATCACAATCTCACCACCAACACCCACCAACACCACAGCCACCGCCACCGTCCTCCGTCACTACCTCGGGGATTGCGAAAGACCATTTTGCCCTACAACAGCAGCAAGCGCAATATCATTTCACCCAACCACAGCCTCATCCGTCTCAATTTCACCATGCTCATTTCGCTCTTCAACAACAGCAGCAACAGCAACAGCATCAGCATCAGCTACAGCAGCAACATCAACATCAACAGCAACGCCAGCGTCACCCTGTCGAACTTAATTTCAGTAAGCCTCCGGTGGCGGCGGTGGTTCCTTCTCCTTCGCCCCAGCAGACACAAGTGCAGCCCTTGCCGGAGGTGAAAACTGAGGGGGGAGTTGTTGTTCAGGATGCCGGTGGGAAATCGTCTGAAAAACCCAAAAAAGGGTACGTCTTTCATCTATTTCTGTTAGTTTGAATCAGCGTTTTGAATAGTTCTTGCTTATCCCTAGGATAGGTTAGGGTTACAAATTAGGGCCCTTTTATTAGTCGTTATTACATGTTAGCTAATTCTAAGTACTTCTAATTCCTCTACAAAAAGAAAACTTTACACGGTTCTTTGCAGTTAGTTGTGAAAATTGATACGTCTCTAATCTAATTCTTGATTGCACAAAGACCTCTTCTGCTATATGTTTCATTTTACCCAACCATGAAATCTTGCTTTGTATAAAATACATATGCATCATTTTTTATTTTATTTATTTTTAAATAACAAGGGCACCATGACAATCTGTTCTCCCGAATAAGACAAATTCTTTGCACAGTGGAAAGGGTGACGATTTCTTTTCTTGACCACATTCGGACTAAAATTACCTTTTCAACCCATTTCCTGTCTTTGTAAAGATTAAAAAAGAGATAACTTACAGAAATGTCAAATGTGACAATTCTCATTGATGTGTACAAACTTCTCTAGTTGGTATATAAGCTGAGACTTTGTAAAGATGGATGTGTTTGCTAGAAAGATTGATTATAGCTTTTTATGAAGAGGGGAACAATTTGAGACGATTGTTTAGCGTTTAATGGGAAAAAATAAATAGGGCCTTTGACCTAGAAAGTGTCTTATTAAATCAAGATTACATTTACGCATGCTTGGATTTATTAGTTTTTGGTAATTATTGGCATTTGACTTGTGCTGTTTACTTGTTTTGATGTGTGATCTCAGTGGTGCAACTGGAACCAAAAGAAGAGGAGGACCAGGTGGCCTAAACAAACTCTGTGGCATTACACCTGAGCTTCAAGTTATTGTTGGCGAGTCAGCATTATCAAGAACTGATGTACGCTTTTTTTTTTTTTTATCAACTTAATCAATTCATACTTCATTAGGCCCCATAACCCTAATGGGCTAATATATATACAATGTTGGTAAAGTAATTATTTTATTGTGGGTTGGGTGTTTAGATTGTTAAGCAGCTATGGGCATACATCAAGAAAAACAACCTTCAAGATCCAGGGAACAAAAGAAAGATAATTTGTGATGATGCGTTGCGTGTTGTATTTGAAACCGATTGCACTGACATGTTCAAGATGAATAAGTTGCTTGCCAAACATATCATCCGACTCGAGCCCACAAGTATGGAAAATCAATCATTCATTTAATATTATTGTTGTATGCCATAATAATTTCCTAATTTATAATACAAAAAGATGTGATGTGATTATTTTTTTTTTTTTTCCTTTTGCAGAAGAATCATCACGTAAAAGGACAAAGGTCAATGTTGAGCCTCCTGCAGCTGAAAATACAAATACAGATGCAAATACAGATACAAATACAAATACAAATACAAATACGGATGATGTTGTTCCTTGTCAAGTTATCATTTCGGATGCACTTGCCAGCTGTCTTGGTCTTGGTACTGCAGAAAGAGAGATGTCCCAATCTGAGGCTTTGAGACTTGTTTGGGAGTACATCAAGCTCAATAATCTTGAGGTATTAATTATTTTAAATCTTAATCAAATGTCTAGAATACCCTTTATGGTAAAAAATATCTAAACTATACCCTCTACGTATGACAAATAATATACCCTTTATAGTCAAATGTCTACATTTCTCTTTGTGAGGAATAAATACTCTTTCTTTATAGGATCCTGGAAATCCGGTGATGATTGTGTGTGATGAAAAGCTGAAGGAACTATTTGGATGTGAGAGCATTTCTGCAATGGGAATACCAGAGTTGTTGGTTAGACACCATTTATTCGAGCAATAGTCTTGTCTTCTCAACTTACATGGACTGGTGTGTCACTTTATTCAGTAAAAAAAAAAAGTTGATTTTGGAGGCTGAATATGAAATATAGTAGTTATTGTGCTCATGTTTATTTGTTTGTTTGTTTACAGATATTATGCAAACAGGAATTGAGGAATTGAGCGTCTGACATATGATGTGAAGAAAGAAAGTAGTAGTAGTAGTAAAAGTTTTTAAGTTTGTTTTTATGGTTGTGGGTGCTGCTGACATGGTAATGGTAGTGTCTAGAATGATGTTGCAACTTGTTTTTATGTTAAAACCAAACCCAACAAATGGTTTTCTTGTTGATGTTGTGGTGTTGTTTACTTTTACCCTTTGTAAATGCCTAACCTTGGTTTGGACACAACTCAAGAATGTAGTAGTGAAAACTAAACTAGTCTTTAATGGAAGGAACCTTTTTTTAGAATCTTATCCAACAATTGCTTACATAAATCTATAATGTGTGATAATATGGTATGTGACGTGTGATGTATGATGATAAGTGTAACAGTTGGTTTCATGCTGATATATAAATGCAGTAGGGTGAATAAAATCGGTCATGGGTGAATCCGTCTTTGGTCGAGACCAGGCCGGTTTTGGACAGTTTATATCGATTTGGTTTCTGGTTTTTCCATTTCTCGGTTTGGTTCTAGTTTCTTCTGCCTTTTTTTTTTTTTAACTAATGAACAAAACTATTCATGAATTAACTAAAAGAAATACAGAAACTTATATTATGTTGATCTAGTGTGTTATGGAAGCCGGATATAATTTGTCGACATCGATTGAATATAGCAAATAATTTTGTTATTTTATTTGAGCTGCGTAAAATTATTTCAAACTGATGTCATAAGATTTGCTTTGCTACATTCCTTAAATGGTGGGTGTGTTCAGATTAAAATCGTATTGACCGAGACCGACACAAGAACTACAGACATTTTTACGATTCTTTAGAATTAGAAAATTGAAAACCTGTAAGAATGATGGATTTCTAGAAAGATTTCAAGAGAGAAATAAAGTTTGAGGCGGAAAAAATGGTTGGAAAATATCAGATATTCGTAGGGCTAAGTTTTTGTGGAAAAAAATGGTCGTCGAGACCAATCCGAGATCGAGACCGGTTCGACCAACTTAAGACTGTCTTTGGACCGCTGGTTCTTGAATTTGAGTGTTGATCCGAGACCAACGGTCTAGGCTGCCTTAGAACTGCTCGATCTTAGACCAGTCCAGTCGTGGTCTTTGAGATCAGTTTAAACCACCATTATCATCAGTCCAATTTAAACATATATTTATTATTACTTGAGATTTCGCTACTATGTGGAAGTTTAAACTACACTCTTGCCTCATATTTTATGTATTTATTTTGCTTCTTCTTCCGTTCTCAAATCTTAACATGCTAACGTCTTCTTTATTACTTAATGTGACATTCACGATGGATCGACAAAATATTATAATAGTACGGATGGCTACAACTCTTTAAGAGCGACATGCAACTCAAAAATATATTCATATCAAAGGTCAAAGGGCCTTTGGTTTAGCGGTATCAAGAATTTGCATATCAACCAATAAATCTGTTGATGAAATATATAGATTTAGGACTAAAATAGTAGGTATGTGTGTAAGGCGTTCAAAAAGCTTTAAATACATAAATGTTATATATATATATATATATATATATATATATATATATATATATATATATATATATATATATATATATATATTTGTTTGTTTTTGAAAGTTAAGACTGGTTGGAGTGGGCAACACCCACTCACGTGTTTTGAAGAAAAAAGAAGAAAACGGCGTTAGAGGATGTGGTGGTGGTAACGAAAAGTAACGTGCAAGCTAATAACGCGCAATAACGGGGAGGTGGGGCGGTGTTTGCGCCGTTATAACATGCAATAACGCCCCCTTGGGCATTGCCCACACCCAGCTGCCTAAGAATCTAAAGTTGAAGATTTTCACCCTAACAAGAAATAAAAAAGAACATAAATACCTCTCTCTCTCTCTCACACATAATTGAAGTGTGCAATAGTTAGGGGTGTAAATGAGCCGAGTCGAGCCGAATACTACCAAGCTCGAAGCTCGATTCGACTAAAATACTCGAGCTCGAAACTCGGCTCGGCTCGGCTCGACTAATATTAAAAAAAATCAAAATCACTAAATTGAGTAAGAAATATTAAAACATTCCACATGCAAATGTCCAAGCTACAAAAAAAACCACTATTAATCACTTAATATCAATATAACATCAACAATATATGTCATAAATGAATAATTATACAGAAATGACATATATGTTATAAATGAACAATTATAAAGAAATAGCATATATGTAAATTACACTAAGCCCGCGAGCCTTACGAGCTGAGTATTTTAGTACTCGAGCTCGGCTCGATAAGGTACTCGAGTAGCTCGAGCTCGAGCTCGGCTCGATTAAGGTCGAGTCGATTTCGATATTTTCCGAGTCGGTCTCGAATTTCTCACGAGTTGACTTGTCTCACTTACACCCCTAGCAATAGTTACCAAGTTATTGGGATGTTTCTTTTTATTATTACTATGGGGATGTTTCTTATTATTTAATTGTGAGGCTAAACCCTAATTTTTTTTTTATTATTATTATTATTATTATTATTATTATATACAGAATGGAAAAAAGTTAACACTGAATTTGTAGGGTAATGTTATAGAATAATAACAAACTACCACAATTTGGTTCCTAGTCACTGTTTCTTGTAAAATTGGCCATTCCTGTGTCAAACATGTCATTTTACAAACAAAAAAAAAAAAAGTAAACAGGTAGCATTTTAAACCAATTTTGTGCATGTGGCTTCTCTATTTAATTTTATATTTTAAAAACTTTAACTATTTATTATTATTATTATTATTATTATTATTATTATTAAAAGAACAAGAATATTTTTAGGATGAATGAAGAACATAGCTGAGTTTTATTTATTTATTCTTCAAACATGTAGAATATCGTTTTTTTAAAGAAGGGTCTTTCCTAGCGAAGATGTCCGGGCCAGCTTCCACACACTATGACTAATCTACAAATCTACAATGCGAACATGAGATTATGCCTCAAGCATTTGAGTCACCGCATACCATCCACATCTCCAAGAGTGTTTTTTTACCGGTGGAGCACTACTCAAGTGGTTGTTGAATATCGTTTTTGAAATACAGAGTTGAATATTGTTTTTGAAGATGAACAAAACTAGTATGGACTTAAATTTGAAAACCTAGATAGTTAAGGCTGTATATTTGAACACCTATACTTCAAGCAACTACTTAGTCCTCCTCGATGTATCAATATGGGCTAGGATTTGTATCGACTTCCTCTCCCACTGCTTCTAGGTCCGGAATAGATGCAACCATCAACTCTATTTTCATCAACGCACTTAGCTTGCAGCGTACATATAGGTTTTGCCTAGGAGTGAACATATTAACCGAAAAACTAAACAAAAACCGAATTAACCGAACCATTATTAAAAAGGTTCTAATGTGTATTGACCGAAGACATGTGGTCCGATTATGGTTTTCATGTGAAACCGGTGTTGACGAGAGCTATTTTTGGAGGAGGCAAAACTAACTATGGATATTATTGAGAAGATCAAATAACCATAGAAAATATTGTGTATATTTATTAGTCATATCCATTCCTTGTATTGCTCTTTCTTTCGTGGGTTTCCTGTTGTATGTAGCCCTATATATGTATCTTGTGTATTGGTGAATAAAGTACAACATATTAGAATTCTCTGTTACATGGTATCAGAGCATACCGCATAGAAATACTCTAATCCCTCGTATTCGAAACCCTAAAAACACCATGTCCGGCAAAGAAATCCCTACCCCAGAAACCCGGATGATTGTCCAAGATGCTCCGTTCCCAACAGGGATCATCTTGGATGACTCGAACTATCAGCTGTGGTCACAGTTGATGGAAATGCGAATATCGGCACGTAACAAGCAAGGGTTCCTTATCGGATCCACCAATAAACCAGAGACTGGCGAAAAACAAATCGAGAACTGGCTCATGGACAATAACAAAGTCAAGAGCTGGCTCATCGACTCAATGAGCCCCACGTTGATTCCAAGGTTCATTCGATTGAAGACTGCAAATGAGATATGGGATGCAGTTGCGAAGACCTTTTATGACGGGACTGACGAGACCCAACTATTTGAACTAAACCGAAAGTCATTCAGCACCCGACAGAATGGCCGGCCCCTTGCCACATACTACAACGAACTTATCGGTATCTTCCAAGAGATTGATACACGACTGACGGTCGAAGAAGATGACGTAACTCAGGTAGTATCCCTAAACAAATTACTAGGGCGTCTTCGTGTGCATATTTTTCTAGCAGGCCTTGATGTGGCATTCAATCAAGCAAGGAGTGAGATACTGAGGAAAGACCCACCACTTGATCTTGAAGCATGTTATGCATTCTTACGAAAGGATCAAAGTCAGAGATCTGCCATGGATGAGAGCAAACCCGAATCGGATAGTATGGTAAACCTTGCAACCCGGAGCCGACCTGTGAAAGGAAAAAACCCGAACAACAAAAACTCAAATCTCGTATGTGCTCATTGTGGAGAAGAAGGGCACTCGAAACAAAAATGCTATGAGATCATAGGCTACCCAGAATGGTGGGATTTCTCAAAGAAACCACGGAGGAAGGTAGGTCAAGCCAATGTAGCTACAACAAAAAACGACGAGACCACGTCGTTTGCAGCCCACACAGAATCACACGACAATCATGGTATGTCAAACAGCTCTAAAACTACGAATAATTCCTGGATTATTGACACAGGGGCGACAGATCACATGACCAATGATCTGAAAAAACTCACAAGTCGAATTCTTCCAAAACAGTCCATGGTCAAAACTGCAAATAGAGGAGTTGCGGATGTTACATATGAAGGATCTACTCAAGTTTCAAAAACAATGAACCTTGATATTGTTCTTGTTGTCCCCTCATTATCATCAAATCTCCTTTCTATTAGCCAAATTATAGACAAATTAAACTGTTATGTAACTTTCTGGCCAACCAATTGTATGTTTCAGGATATAGCGACGGATCGGATAATTGGCTATGGTATTAGGAAGGGAAATTTGTACTATCTTGAGGAAGAAAAGCATGTCGCAGCACACAATACGGAAACAAAACAAGAAAAAGATCATTGCCGTGGCTATGACATCGTAGATTAGGGCATTTATCGTTTACTTATTTAAAAAAATTGAAACCGGATATTTTTTTGAATGAAAAATAATTTGAATTTAGTTGTGGTGTGTGTGAAATGGCCAAAAGTTATCGGGTTTCATATATGCCGAGTGAGAAAAAAGCCCCTGTTCCATTCATGGTAGTACATAGCGATGTTTGGGGCCCCGCAAAAATACCTACACCTAATAGTTATCGTTACTTTGTT